ACTCTCGGATGTACGGCGTCTCGATGGCGTACTCTCGGATGTACGGCGTCTCGGTGACGTACTCTCGGATGTACGGCGTCTCGGTGACGTACTCTCGGATGTGCGGCGTCTCGATGACGTACTCTCGGATGTGCGGCGTCTCGATGACGTACTCTCGGATGCACGGCCTCTCGATGACGTACTCTCGGATGTACGGCGTCTCGGTGGCGTACTCTCGGATGTACGGCGTCTCGATGGCGTACTCTCGGATGTACGGCGTCTCGGTGACGTACTCTCGGATCCACGGCGTCTCGGTGACGTACTCTCGGATGTACGGCGTTTCGATGATGTACTCTCGGATGTGCGGCGTCTCGATGACGTACTCTCGGATGCACGGCCTCTCGATGACGTACTCTCGGATGTGCGGCGTCTCGATGACGTACTCTCGGATGTACGGCGTCTCGATGGCCGAGACGCCGTACATCCGAGAGTACGTCATCGAGAGGCCGTGCATCCGAGAGTACGTCATCGAGACGACATCCGAGAGTACGTCAAACGGCGTCTCGATGGCGTACTCTCGGATGTACGGCGTCTCGGTGACGTACTCTCGGATGTACGGCGTCTCGGTGACGTACTCTCGGATGTGCGGCGTCTCGATGACGTACTCTCGGATGTACGGCGTCTTGATGATGTACTCTCGGATGTGCGGCGTCTTAATGACGTACTCTCGGATGTGCGGCGTCTTAATGACGTAGCTCGATATCCTGACGTCATTACATCCATCAGCTGTTCCGTGACGGCAATGTCGCCGATCAGTCCATTCCAGTTGTCGGCATTAGGCGTTTTCTGTGAGCGAATAAAAGTACACGGAAGCGATCATATAAGATTTTCATGTAACATACGTATAGATATATCATCAATGTTGTCAAGACGCGGCTGGTGACAAGTTCGTGCAAGGTCAACGCCCCGATATATAACTACTTCGACGTGTTGGTGCAAAGTGTACGACGCGGAACGCCTACGGCGATAACATGCTAGCCCGTACGCGTATAATCTATCATACGTGGAGTTTCTACTACCATATACACACGCTAACATACTACCCTTGGCAAACATGAATACGTGTAGCTCTGCTACACTTACTCCGAATCAAAGGAGTCTACATTTTACATGCTATTTTGACATATGACATTACATTGGATACGCTATTGCGAGTAAGTATGTTTCAATGCCACCAACAAAGTGCTTCCTTACCTGCTTCAAACCGTGATCAGCTTGAATTTCGTTGACAAGATCGAGGTACTTTATCCTGGTTCTGCCGTACTCCGCACTGCTCAACTGCCTCCTTGGATTCTGCATAGATATATAGGCCTACAACACCGTGTATACATGTACACATGTATATACACCGTATATACATGTGTTGTATATATCTATGGATTCTGTAAGGAACGGATGTATTTATGATAATCGTGACGCTGCATGTCGATATCATTCTCGGGGCCGTTGTCAGAAACATTTTAATCAAGACTTACCACGCCTGGCTTCAAGCGGCC